AAATAAAATACTATGAAAATAATAAATCTAAACTCAATCATAGTATTAAAATATGCAATTTGTCCACAGTTAAATTAATCACATTTAGATTTTTCCAGAAATTAATATTCAGGAATCCTAATTAAACAGTGGGATTGCTTTTAAAAAAATAAACGGACAGCGTATCGGCCGATACCGATACAAGAAAAAACGCAAATATCGGCCAAAAATATCGGCCAGCCGATGTATCGGTCGACCCCTAATTTAAGGTTAAATAGATAAATAACTTTGCTGTGTCACAATAATAAACAATGTGCAGCTCWCACACAAACTGCAGGGAACGACTCACCTTAAAGGTAGCAGGTCTGTTGTACTCTGTGTGGAACGTCCCGTCTCTGCAGGAAACAAAACACACACTTCATACAAACCAGCAGTAAGTGATGCATCATGTATTTCTGTAGATGTGAAATATTTCCCCATCAAAAAACAAATCAATAAAAACACGTTGCAGAAAGGCAGTGGACATTTAAACTGGTGTTTACTTGTAATGCAGCAGCTCTGCTCCTCCATGTTTGGAGCTCGGGTCCACCTTCACTTTCTTACAAACTTTACGGCCTTCAGAGTCTCTGAGAGAAAAATCAAAACACACAATAAATGTTTGTTAGGGCTTTTCATTGTGCCAGCAAGAAAACAAGCAGTTTGTTGGTTTTTAAAGAGAACATCTGTAAATAAATGAAATAAACATGCACCTGTCTGTAGTGTAGTTAATTGTTTCCACTAAAGATTACTGAAACCATTCATTAGAAAGGTGGAGGAAAACATTTTTCTGGAGTTCAATGTGTCCAAACTCAGAAAGGTAGATTTAAATTATGGCTGACAAATACAGAATTTTCTCAGTGTCTTTTTTCCTTTCTTTAAGAAACTCATCTAGTTGAATAAGTGGAGCGTTTCAGGTAAACACTCTGATATTAGGAGGAGTCACGGTGGCAGATGGCAGCAGTGAGGGCACAACAGGACCAGATGTAACCTCGACACACACTGAACTTTGTGACGACGTGCCGTCACCTGGTTCAAGATCAGTCTGCTGCCTCCAAACGCCTGCAGAGCTGCCACAAGACAGAGGAGCTGTGGCTACGTTTCACTGAATGTATCCAGTTATACACAACCTGAACTTAGCAGAAAGGGCATTAACAATGTGCTTCAGAACCTTACTGAATGTTGTTCATGCTAACAACTTTGCACACTCACAACTATGGAAAATATTAATGAAACAAGGCTAATCTGTGATCAAATAACAGATGTGCACAAATACATTGTAATATCAGTGAGCACAATATTAATATCACCAAGGATTGCTTAGACCAGGGGTGCCCAAACATTTTCCCTGAGAGGGCAAAAATAAAAATCGATCTGAGGGCTGCGGGCCAAACGCAGTTATATATGAAAAGCAAATACTTCTTAAATAAAGTTGTTGGTTTTTTTATTATTAAGCTGGCAGCCAGTGTGGTCAGACTCTCACAAATTAAAATTTTTGTATTTCAATTCAACTCATTTTAATAAAAATACTTTATTGATCCCAKAGGGAAATTAGATGTAGAAAAATTTGAAAGATTTGTGATCTTAAAAATGTGTGCAAATCTAGACGTGTGCTTAATTCTAATCTAAAYGCCTCTTGTAGTTACTTGTATTTTATGATTAATCTTAATATAATGCACAATAAATTACACAGAATTAGTTAAGACAATCTGCAGCACAGCTCCTTGTATAATTGGATCATTGGTTGGAATGAAAGTGTAAAATATAGTGTTTCTACATAAGACAGGAGAATACAACCTAGTAGCCAGGACAACTGCTGGTGGGCCAAATCAAATGGCTTGGTGGGCCAATTTTGGCCCGCGGGCCACACTTTGGACAGTTCTGGCTTAGACAGTAATAAATCTAGATGCATGTTCTGCAGTCTATTAAAAGATACACTGGCCTTGATGTTAAAAAAAACAACAAATTATGTCTAATATATTTAAATCTACAATGAAAATACAAAATGATAATATTTTAATTACAAATGTTAAATCCACTCGTTTCCTTGGTGTTATAATAGATGATTCTTTATGCTGGAAACCTCATATTAGTGCTGTAGGTACAAAAATAGCCAGAGTAGTTGGAATATTAGGGAAAATCCGGCATCTGACTAATAAAGAAGTTGCAACTATGTTGTATTATACAGTATAGGGCTGTGTATTGGCAAGAATTTGGCGATACGATACATATCATGACAGACGGGTCACAATATGATATAT